GTATAGTTTTGTTGCTAATAAATTAGCAATATGCTTCCGAACGTATGGTCTATTTTAGAAATTTTTATTTTAGTATTATTTTTAACTTCCCGACCCGAAGGGAGGAAGTTATTTGGTAATGATTTTTCAATTATGCAATGTGAAAAATGATTTTTTTTTTACACTTTTATGAATGAGATTGAGTTAATTTCTATATTTTCGTCAGAAGTATGTAAATGCGTCTTTTTCTAAAAAAAAATAGAAATTTTTTTATTTAAAAAATGTAATTTTTGAAAAAAAAATTCTGCCATTTTTTGAAACGTGAAAAGATACCTGCAAATGAGCTCTAAATTATCCCATGTCGAAAACCAAATTTTGTTCATTTTTTAAGCATTTTTTCTGCTAACTTGCGGTAAGGTAGCGGCATCAACGCCGTTTTTCCAAAAACTGGGTTAGCTGAATTTTTTTTTGAAAACGTAAATAATTAGCTGTTGATTAGCTTTAAATTATCCGATATCGAAAATCAAATTCTATTGATTTTTTAAATAATTTTTCTGCTAACTTACAAAAAAGCTAGCAGAGACACGTTTTTTTTCAAAAATGGTATTAGCAAAAAATTTTTTGAAGGCATATAAAATTAGCTCATGATAAGCTGCAAATTGTCCAATATTGAAAATTCGATTCGGCTACTTTCGCCTGCTAGATTAACACATGTCGTCAAATGTTCCCCAGAGGCTATCCCTCATGAAGCTCTCAATTTATAAGGTATTTACAAAATAATCTGGAACTAAACAACAAAATTTCCAACGCATTAAATTCCCAAACACCTCTCATTCATCGAATTTATCAAGAAACCTTCTTTATCCTCACCAAAATGTTTATTGACATTTCCCTTCAAACCCTTCCTCCCCAACCATAAAAGCTCCTCTGAATCCTCTCTCCGTAATCCCTCAATACCCGACTATCTCCCTAACTCGCCATAACCCCAACATTCGACTCTCACTCTTGGCCAGACAACTCGTTGCACACGCCTGCGCGTTAGTTCCACATTCTTCGCCTGCATCAACACAACCAGGAGGTCACTAGCGATAAAGGTCAATAACTATTTGCCCGGCAGACTATGCTCGCTATTATCTCCAATCAAACATTGCGTCGTAGATTTTTTTCAGCTCTCCTCCAAAACGAAAACTAAAAACCCCTCATTTCCTCATGTATCAATTCTCCGTTGCACTTGACGCATCATCGTCTTAATTAGTATAAACCATTGGGGCTGATGACGTCTGTATCGCATCATTTTTAGCCCACACGTACTGCATGGAAGCCTACATACCCAGTGAGTCTGCGCGGCGCGAGGATGCATTAATGCGGAGAAAAAAAAACATGAAGACCAGTTTTGAAAAAGAATGAGAGGGTGGGCAGAAACCATATCTTTGTATTGGGGTCGATGTTTTCAGTGGAGACAGTAGAATCAGTGTTCTGTGCGTCAATGTGTCGTCGGATAGCTACGGGCTGCACTTCATACAAGCACATGTATAGGAGAGCTTTCTCCACCTCGGGTTTGTGCTACTAACCGTTTGGAATTGTTGGGAGTGAGGGTGGCGAGAGAATTTGCTGGAAATGGGAAGGAGCAGGAATGCAGGTGTTTTCCAGTTTCAGAGGTTGAATTGATTTTTTTTAATCACAAAGTTCATAAACCTGTCAATTTCCAAGATATTGACCACAAAATCATTGTGGACAAAAATACAAAATTCACTTTTTTTTACCCATGAAACTTATTAAAAAAACTCGAAATGACCTGGTTTAAATTTCCCAAGCTTTATATTATTTAGATAATAATCTCAAACAAAAATACAAAATTTCCAACGAATTGAATTTTTAAGTATTTCCTCATCAACCAAAGGTTTTCGAATTGCAGAGGTTGAATAGATTTTTTTTATTCGTCTTTGCATCTTAAAAATATTCCTTTTTTGATCCTGTTCATTTCCTGAATTATTTAGGCATAAAAAGTAGATTTATTGGTAGAAATAATTTCATTCGGAAATTGGTCTATTTTTTCATGTTCCACATTTTTTATTTTCAATACATTTTAAATATGTTTATCGATTAATTTGTTTCATTATAAATAATACAATAAGTCAGAAATGGGTGAAAAAACAGTTATTCCAACATTTTATTCCATGGAAAAGTCATAAAAATGCAATTTCAAAAAGTGTTTTTCTTTTTAATCATTTCTGATTCTTACAATTGATTGAATAGAATGATATACATAAAATTATTTGAATATCCTTGAAACAGGAGACAATGTGGCACGAGACACTGTCCTTTATGGGTCGTCAGCTCTCATCGAGTCTGTACAACTGACAATAAATGAGAATATTCTATTCCCCCCGGAATTGTTGGATATATGTATCATGGCTTCACGCTTGACTTGTGCGCATGTGAAGGGAATTTCACACTTGTGGTTGTATTGACGAATGAGGTGTGGAGGAGTGCAAGATGGTAATGCATCGTGGTCATTTATGGCCGGCGCACCGGCATGAATGGCCTACTATCGCACTTTGAATTGCCATATTACGCCATGCTTATGACGGTGGTCATTATGATTAAAATGTTTAAATAATGGTGGCAGAATCACGGGTATTATTTTGTCATTATCATTGTGATTACTCCATTGTACGTGCATCGAATTATCTATTCTTTAATTCATAATTTTTTCGTTTTTATTTTAAAAAAATTATAAAGACTGAATTAAATGAAGGACGTGGATCAAGATAAAAATTATTGTATTAACTTTTTGATATTTAATTGATTTATTATTTCGTTATTAAGCAATGAATTTAATATTCAAAAAACCATTTTCGTCCGCTTTTTTCTGAATACATAAATCGAATTTATTCTTCAATTAAGTTTTCTATTCATGCTTAAAAACGTAAGAAGTTTTGAAAAATTTCAAAGGCATGAGTTCCCGATCATAAATTCTTGTCATCATTCTTTTATATTAAATTTCTCATTTTTTAAAAATATCAATTCATCACCCAGTGATCTAGAGTATCTTTCAATCAACTATTTTCGGATTACTATTGACGTAAATATTCATTGCCAGCATTGATACACAGGGGGTCATTCTCAACGGAAGTGGTAGCACTGCGAATTGAGATAGGTCAGTCTATTTCTGTGTGTAAATACGTTATCGAGGAGGAGTGACTTCTCGTGGGTATATAAACACCAAATTGTCCGTGCAAATTTTACGTTAATTACGACTGTCGAGTGGGAATGAGAGATTTAGACGAATGAGTCGTTGATCATAATTTCAAGTGGCATGCTTCGGTGTCTAGAATAAACCATTAACTAATTTTTCTGTCAAATAATAATCGTAAGGGTTTAACAAAAGCAATTATCAAAATTATAACCATGATTGTTAATTTATTGGGATAATGAAAATCATGTTGTATGATTTTTTAATTTGGTTAGTTATCATCTGTTGCTTACCGATATAAAAGTTCCATAAATTTTGCCCTACGGATGTCAACCTAGGAGAATTCATATTTTCACTCACATTTTCGTTTTGAGAGTTGTCGTTCACTCGTAATGACATTTTTCTCCCCAGACATACCTGCTATACCGTAAATCCTCCTCCTCGGTACTCGGTACTTTCTCGGTTGTAGGCATAAGCCAGGTCCGATGAGCGCGCACAAATGTGTGAATAAGGTGGTACGTCAGCACTTTTCATTCGTGGTGCGTGAAAGAAAAAATAATTGTCAATTATGATTATTTTTAGGGGCTTGAGAAATGATGAAATTCTGATCACAAAATAGTTTCCGTTTTGATGTTGTTTTTAAGGAGGCATTCCCATTGTTTAATTCGTTCATTATATTTTTGGAAAATACTTACATCTAATGTCATCCACTGGTTCTTTATTGCCACATAAGACCATAAAGAACATGGATTAGGGAGACTTATAAAAACTCTGCGAATCCGTTTCTAACCTCAAAAAAATTAAAATAGTCTCTTTGATTTCATCATTTTTAAAGACTAGAAAGAGTTGACCACCATAAGTGGGTCATAAACGGAATTCGAAGGCGTGTAAATACCTAACAAAATCTATCCTGATTATCAATTTCATGAGTAAATCTGCAAAAACATGAGTGATAATCATATAACCTAAAAAATCTTTTGTAAACAAAAGAAAAGATGGATATCTTTTTGTTTTTTGCCCATTGATAATGGTTGTACGAGTCAAATATAATATTTTGTGGAGATATGTAAAATATTGGTGCTCATAAGGCTGAAGTGTGTGATTCAGACCTTTATGAGAATTAAATACCGAGGTTTTTATGTTACGGGAATATCCGTAGTTCTTGGTAGCTTCATTAAGACAGTATCCGGCGCGTAAGTAGGAGACCCGGATTCGAATCCGGGCTGGGTGGTACGGGATTTTTTCTTTCTAAATTCTAATTCTGTTTCAATTTTTATATGGAATAAATATAATATTTGTCACCGACGGCGGTGGCTGTGTGGTTAGTGTGGGATTAACATGCGGGAGACCCGGGTTCGATTCCCGGCTGGGGGGCCAAAATTCGTGACACTCTAAATCTCACGGTTTCATTGTTGAGCGGGAGTCTCGTAAGAGACGACTGTACCTGGCAGGTTTTTCCTTCGCATGAGGTTTTCCATTGTCCTTCGGCGAATGCGGTACAGGGGGGTGGGAAGGGAACAAATCGTAAAAATCCGAAAGAGTATACAATGTTTGTCCTCTGATTGGCATGAAATTATTCGATTTTAAACTTTATGAGTATCAAATAGGGGCCCTTGCGATGTTTTTATAAGACAAATATATTTTGCCTTGTATTTGAGTCGAATATTCAATTTTGACCTTTTACATAATCGGATATACAAGCTTTTAGTTTTTATGAAGGAATATGCTAGTTTTTATTTCTACATGAACCAAATGTAGAATTTTATCCTTCACAAGCATGATGCTTTCGGTATTTTGACATTTATGAGTAAATTTATGATTTCAGATGGTGTTAAATTATCTCCCACTAAATCCATCACCGGCCACAAAGACTGAAGGCAATGTGGCTCAGTGGGGAAACTCGAGGAGGTGATAACGACTTCTGACCTTGCATAGATTGGATCCCAAAGCAGGATCCCCCAAATAAATCCCCAATCACTCCCAACCAACGAAAGACAAACGTTTTTCTCATTTATATTCATTAAGAACAAGAGAAGCAAAGTATATAGTAACGCTAGATAACAACAACCACAATAACGTTGGAAAATAACGTACATTACCTTCTACCTTGAATCAATATACCTCGTACCTACAAGTACCTTCAAACATCTACCTTCGACAGCGCAATAGTGCCTGGGTCACCGATTATATTAAATATTAAAAAGTACATAAACATAGAATTGTTTGTTATGAAGGAGGATGGAGAGTTACAACGCCAATGGTTGCATCCTCAATGATTAAATAGCGTTTAATGAAACCATAAATCTTATAAGTCGACGCACATATATTCTATGCTAAAGAATTAATTACTCAACACTCAATCGAAACCAGGACAGACGAGTACCTGCAGGCAGATATATTTATCGAGTTTATGATAACCAATACTTAAACAGTTGGTGAATGAATTTTCGTTAGAATGAAGGATATAACGTGTAACTTTTAGTGGATAGTTTTGTGAGTGAGAAGACAGACTGTCGGAAGTCTCTTCTGAGCTGGCTTTAAATGTATTCAACGATTTTTTGATACTTCGGAGCTGGGATTTTAAGGGTGAGTCCGCATATATGTTTGTTTTTTAATAATTAATGAAGATTTAGGTATGGAAAATTATTTCAGCATTATAGAGATTGATTCAGGCTCTTATGAATGAGAAATATGGAGTATTTTGGTCTTTTTGCGAGTTATATGCCAGTTTTGGCTTCTACATGAACCCAATACAAAACTTTGATCATTATAAACGTTAAGAAGACGAGATTTTTCATAATTATATAGATAAAATGGGATATTCTGACCCTTATTGCAGTGGAATGTTTGATTTTGAGCACTGTGAGCATCAAAAACAGAAGGTTTTGGTAAATTTGAGAGTTACAAATGTCGATTTTAACTTTTATATGAATAAAATACCCCATTTTCATAATTATAAACGTCAAATATGTGGAAATTCATGTTTACTAGCGGGAAATATTTGATTTTGAACTTTGTGATCATCAAATAGAAGGTTTTGAGGCATTTATATGAACTCAATAGGAGATTTTAATCATCATAAATGTCAAGATTGTGAAATCTTTGTGTTTATATGGGTAACATGTGATATTCGAAGCCTTGTTGAAGTGGAATGTTTGATTTTGGGCATTATGAGCATCGAAAATGGACGATTTTGGTCTATTTAAAGGTTAAATATATCGCATGTCTAACAGCAAAAGGTCGTAATGACGAAATTTATATATTTTTTTCATATACTACCTTTTGCCTTCAATTTATATCCTCAGAAATTGAGAGTGATCTAAAAGTGAAAGTTCGTAAAGACAAAATTTGGTATTTTTCAATTTCTCTTTTCCCGGACAGGTTATTAGTCAGTATCCCAGTTGATGTCACTAACAGCTATCGGTGTCCTTGATTAAGGTCAAATAATTATATCGGCAACTTGGTAACATAATTTGAGTGAAGAAAAAACGGATCTCCATTTTTAATCCAGATTCGTATATGTCAGAATAATGTAAAAACTGTCAAAGTGTTTGTATGTTCCAAACTTTTTTTGTCCACTGATCACCCCTTAAATACTTCTTTGGAGATACGCTTGTGTTACTTATTTGCAAAGGGAGGTTTTTAATTTAAGAACCCAAGGTTCTTGATTTTAGTATCCAACGGTTCTTATTATTAAGAACTAAAAGTACTGGGTTCCAGATCCAAAGTGCCGTCAAATGAGAGAAAATATACCTTGATCTAAGCACCATGGGTATTTTATTTCAGCAAAAATGATTGAGAACTAGAACTTTTTTCTCTAATTTTTAGAGAAAATTTTCTTAGAATAAGTGAAAGTGCCATTGAAATCAAGGACTTTTTGCTCTTTGGATTTGAGTATTACTGAGTACTGAAATTTGAGATTTTTACTGGAAACCAAGATTTTTTTTTGCTGTGTTCGTTTCTCTCGCAGGAACCTAAAAACGTTTCACCCTTCTAATTAGTTCGCTTGTCTTTGGAAACTTTAGATCCTTTTTATAACTCCGGCTGACGAACCCTCCAGGCCATTTGACCCTTTAGAACTTTCGGCCCTTAATTTTTTTCTGATGAAAGAAGTCGTCTGAATTTTGCTCCGCATTCATTTTTTGCTACCGTTCCATTTAGCCCCGCCATTTCAATTTTCCCCAGTTCCCTTTGCTAATTTATAATGGAATTTTGAAAAATACATAGAAATAAAAAAGGAAGCCAAGTTAGGAATTTTGAATAAATGGTGATAGTGCACATTCAGGTTTCTATAAGAAAAATAGTTCTCAATGGAATAAATATTCTAAAAAAATTCTCCATGAAATAAAAAATCAGTAGGAGCAGGACCAATGTCCTTGGCGCGGATCAAAGGATGGAGGAATAGATTGATACAGACAGTGAATTGAAAAACTCCGCGCCAAGAACGTTGGTCCTACTCCTACTGATTTTTTATTTCATGGAGAATTTTTTTAGAATACTTATTCCATTGAAAACTATTTTTCTTATAGAAACCTGAATGTGCACTATCACCATTTATTCAAAATTCCTAACTTGGCTTCCTTTTTTATTTCTATGTATTTTTTTAAAACTTCGATTTCCCAGTAGGAATCAAACAAAACTTTTTCTTGGCCCAGTTTTTTTACAGAAACATTTGTTTTTGTATTTTTAGGCAGATTTCATTATTTTTTTCAAAATAAGCAAGGACTGTTTTTACATCCGGTGAAATTTGTTCTTTTCAATTCAATTTAACTGATTCATTTTTCATAAGATAGAACATTTTTTGAATCAACAATTGAAGGGAAATAAACAGTTCTACTCCAGATTTATTCTCTCCACCGAATTTCAAATTTTAATCATCTATTAACAACTTTCTGACTTGATTTGGTTCGTCATTCAATTTTTGCTCTGATGATTCCTACATGGATTGTATTTCGTGAAGAGATGAACTGATTTCCTTATAGGAATAGTGGAACAAAATGTTCACAAAGAATTCTCTTTGAAAACATCTGTTTTTGTTTTTTTTGTTTTTAAAAATATTAGGGAAACATTGGGTGGAATGGACTCTTCTGACTTCTTATTTCAATATTTATAACCAAGGAATAAATTTATCGATTGAGCTCAGTCTAAGCTTATTACAAAGGGGCTGACTGTACTTTAATTTAAAAAAAAAAATCTATTTCATCAGCACTTCAATAAGACATCAACATTTTGGAAAAGATTCAAAGTGTCCATTTAATCCCACCGTCTCCTACTAATTTTTCCTAAATAATCACAAAATTGTTCGCATTTCACTGTCACTAGTGAATTTTTTTCCACGGAATGAAAACATTTTCTGTTACATTCGGAGAAAAATAAATATTTTCTTTTCGAATTTAACTATTCACGGACATTTAATACTTGATCACACAATATTTTCGACACATCTCCCTTTTGTCACATTCCAAACATAAACCGATAACCTCACAAACAGTGCATAAACTATCTTTATGTCCGAGGTCCGCATATGAATATAGATATGGTGGGATGAAATTCGAATGTTCGATGAGAGAAAACAAAATAGAACACCGAGTCGATTTTCCGTTTCGTTCTAATAAGTGATTTAACGTGAAGAAGAACATTTTCTGTGGTTCTCCATAACAACATCTCAACCCACATTCAAATGCACTGGTGGCAAAACTTCAACGTTGGATATGAAGCTCAGTTGGACCGAAACTGCCAACGTTACAACTTGATTCTCACACTTTATAATGTGAATCGCGAGAATGTGAATATCAACTCGTTGCTATGCGCCTATCTTTTTTACTGTTAATCCAAAAAATACCATAGTTACACCGTTGAAAGCTCATAGGCGATTTATATAATGTAACCGACGACACTTTCCCGATTTGTCGTCCGGTTTTCATTATACCGAATGTAAATCATTTAGAGGTAGTGGAGGGGGAAGTTCTGTCCTGTATNGATTTTGGAAAAGAGTGGGAGTTACGACGGTATTTCTGTAATCTGTACATTTCCACATTTTTTGATCATTTTGAAAGTGTGAAATTTATTTGAAAGGAAAGAACGTAATTGGGATTTGCGATAGTGTGTTTGAAAATGATTGGAGATCCGTTGGTTTATTAAAAAAAATTAAAATGATTACTTCGATAATTTTTCCAATCCCGAACTTAAATAGCGCATTTTTTAGAGATACGTTAATTTACTTTTGGAAATGACCGATTTTGGTAGTTACGTTACTCTGTTACTAAGCTGTCGATATGGGAACTATGTTCCAAAGGAATTTAAACCTTCTTCAGGGTATGATGATTAAGAATCGTGAATTCATGGACGCATGATAATTCAACGCATAAAGGAATTATATTCGCCACTCTCTCTCTCACTCTCTCTCTCTCTCCTCTCTCTCTCTCTCTCTCTCTCTCTCTCTCTCTCTCTCTGTCTCAAATTTGACTTTTAAAGCGTACCAAGAATATTTGGTGGAGAAAATCGGCAAAAAAGTAGGAGTATTGAACCGGATAGGGAGATATGTCAGTATTATGGCCAGAAATATCATATATAAAAGTATAATTTCACCCCATTTTGAATACTGCAGTTCAATAATATTCACAATGAATGAAACAAGCATGAAAAATTTACAAAAAATGCAGAACAGGGCGATGCGAGGAACCCTCCACTGTAATAGGAGAACGAAGGTGTCAGAAATGTTAGATGCCCTGGGGTTCATGCCAGTAGACATTAGAATAAAATATAATGTGATAAAGTATGTACATGAATTGGTTCAAAAGCAAAGGATACCAAAAACTGATACAAAGCCCGGGGGGAGAGAAACGCGGGCCACAACAAAACTACGGTTGCCACTCCGAAAAACTACATTTGGGCAAAACGATATTATGTAGGAAGGAGCGAAACTGTATAATGAGCTTCCGGAAGGCGTGAAAGAGAAGAGTGATACAGCATTCAAGCGAGAAACGATCGAGTATTTAAGGCTGCGCCAGAGGTGAGGCGAACTGTAAAACCTAGGACAACGAAAGGCGAAAATAATGTGAAACAATGTAGCTAAATAGCTAAATAAACGTACCAATTAATCAATCTCTCTCTCTCTCTCCTCTCTCTGTCTCTGTCTCTCTCTCTCTCTCTCTCTCTCTCTCTCTCTCTCTCTCTCTCTC